TGGAAAGTCAAGAGTCTTTCTCAGAGCCACAGAATTCCATAAATTCTGTCCTTCATCCTTTCCTCTATGGGTCATTCATTGCATTAATTTTGTGAAGGCAGCAGTTCTGCCCTGTCAGATGAAGTATCCCCAAGTCACAAACTGTGTATAGAAATCCCATAAAGTTTATCAGTATGTCTTTATCTTACCTAAGTGGATAGAGAGAAGCAAGAAAATTTCTTTTCCACAATGGATGCATGAAGTGAGCACAATTCTTATTCACAGCTTTGTGGCAGCTGTGCTTAGAAGTCAGTGATGAGGAACTGGTGTTTGGCTCATGGGCAGGTGCTCAGTGCTGAGCTAGCTTTTGTATGTTCAGCTCCACATGAGCTATTGAACAGCTCCATTGAGAACAGAGTTTAGCATAGTACTCTTATGAGACTGTGTTGTGTGAGATTTTTTCTTGAATATGTAAGTGGTCTTCATACAGAAAGCAGCTGGACTAACTGAAACAGAGGTAGCTGACTTTGGGGGTTACTAATACAAGTTTGCATGAACTTTTCTTTGTAAATATGAATTTTTTTATATAGCTATTTGATAATAAACACATCATAATCATCACACTGAAAATTACATTCGTGCTAGTCCCCTGTTCAGCATTTCTTATGACATGACACTGAACATACAGAAAATTACTGAAGGAAGTGAAACTGATGACACATTAAAGGGAAATTTCAAGCCCACTACACAGAATGTACTTCAGGAATTGTAAACAAAATCTTTGTGTGCACTGGCATCAGAGCATGGGGCTTTCAGAGGTGAAAATGAAGCCTATATACATGCATAGGAGAGAATTGTTTGGTTGCAAGCTAATGGAATTCTTGTGGTCATTATTGCAATTAAATGCTTATTAAACAGTTCGAGAAAATCCATGAGGGTAGTGGCCTGGAAATAATTCTTTCTGTATAAACTTCAGATAATGAAAAATATTTTTCTTGGATGTCACTGCTGTTGCTTTGGATTTGCAAATGAGAGAAGAATTTTGCCCACAGTCTCATTACAGATGCTCCATATTCTGGAAATAAACAAGAATGGGTCAGAATATGCATATATTATCATAGATGTTTCTAGTTCTTATTCTCATGCTCTTCATAAACATAGACTCATAGAATCATAGAATCGTTAGGGTTGGAAAGGACCTTAAGATCCTCTAGTTCCAACCCCCCTGCTGTGGGCAGGGACACCTTACGCTAAATCATATCACCCAACATAGTTTACAAGAATACATTAGATAAACACAGAAAAAAAAGTCAATGAAAATATTTATTGCTGTGCTTTCTGATTACTCTTCCAACTCACTTGTGAATAGGAAGCCACTGATAAATTTAAATTGGCCTATAAGCCAATCATCTTGTATATAATTGCTGCTTTCTTAATTTGCACAATCAAAAATTCTGTCAGTAAGACCAAAAACCTTTTCACCGTTCACAAAACAAGCTTTTCACCATTTTTGCTTCTTAGAAATTTAATAGCTGTATGAGTAAAATGACATTTTCTTACACCAGAGTGCAGACCCTTACTCATTTTGCCAATGACAGCTAGAAAGGAATAAAGATTCAACATTGTAAATAAAATTCCTGTAATGGCCATGATTTCTAAAATATCTAAGGATTTCTAACACTTCAAACAATGCAGATAAAAATAGGACAACCATAATCTGCTACAAGGAAATTATCTTCTCATGATGTAAGTTAACATACTCCTCTTAGTGATAGACTCATATTTAAAGAATCTTAGCTTTCAGAAGAGCTAGAAAGATCCAGCTTTACTTGCATAAGTGAGTGGAGTGAATCTGTATCTCTCTATCAGAAAAAGCTCTCATGACTGAGCAGAAAAAGGTCATTGTTACCATTTGTAGTGGCTTTATTTTTTGCAGGTTCCACTTGGCATCTGAATATTTATGGAGCAGTGCACTGCAGGTGGAATAGGCAAGTCAATGACATTAATCTAATTAAAAAAAACTTGTGTAATTGTCTTCAGGACAGAGGAAACCCTGCTCAGAATGAAAATATAGGTGTCTATGAAACTGAAGCACACACTGAATGTGCTTGTGTCTATGTTGGTAGGGCTCCAGGACTTACGTATTACATGAAATAAGCCGTTAAGTTTGAACAGCTAAATTTTGGACCTGAAGGCTAAATATGGAAATTTAAGTGGAATTATATACTCCTAAATTGTTTTTGTAATCTCTCTTTTGGTAAGGATAGCTTAAAGGAAATTATTGTATATATGCTCATGTGAAAAGACCTGCAACAGTAAGTAATGCAGATGATGTGGAAAAAAGGATGTATCTACTGCAGGAATTCCATGGTGCTGAACTTGGGAATTCAATGCACATGTAAGAGTATGTGACACAAAGGGGTATGAAAATATCTCATCTGTAAGCTAAAAAGGTCAGATAAATCAGGATAGTAAAAGCTTCCAAGAGTATTACATATTATGTAAATACATACCACATGGTTCTTAAATTTAGCTATCAGGGAAAGTTCAGAAATTTAAAATACTGGTCCAGAGAAAGAAAAAGTGGTATGCTGTACTTTTGCTGTATTTGGCTAGTTGCTGATTCATACTGTATTTGATTAGGTGAATTCTGTAAGGTTACATTTATTCCTGGAACTGCCTCCTATATCAAACATCAGAAAACTATTCTGCTTTAGGATTCATCCAGTTTTGTAGCAACCGTTTTACCAAAATGTTGAGATCATTAAGAATAGTATATGCAAACTGAAGGACTAGATGCTGATCTTGAAAATGCGAGTATGATTTAGAAATAAGTCTACTTTTGAAGAACTGCTTCTGATTTATAATAAAACAAATTAAATTGATATCTGGATTACATGTGTTTTATCTTATTTAATTAATAAAAATATGATTACATTAAAAACCCTTCCATCTGCCAATTTGAAAAGAAATGCTGTTAAATTGATGGTTACTCCTTATTTAGAGACAGCAGTCCATTTCTAATCACCTAAGTGATCACAGATCTGACAGCTGCAATTCATATAACAGGTAGATAGGTTAAAAATTAAAGAAATGGCAAACACAACTGCAAAGAATGTTGAGATTTAACTCTTTTTAAACCAGGACTACATTTTTGTATTAATGCAAGAGAAGAGGTACTACATACGTAATTCAAGGTAAAAAAAAGTATAAAATATTGTAAGAACTTCAAAGTGTTTGAGGAGTCTGCAATGAAGTACAGTTTTAAAAAAATCAAATTCATTTTATCCCAAAATGATTTTGTGTTCATGTATATGTGTTGTAATGCTATATTGTTTTCTAAGCATAATTTTCAGTATTTCAGAGCTAGCATTCTTTATTTTGTTATACTACTGCTTATGCAGTCACTAAAAATACTTTTGTTTGTATATGTTGGAAAGAATGTGGGATTTGAACACAGATCCATTTCTAGGAGATACATGTTTTCATATGCAGTTAAGGACTTGACTCTGGACAAAAGAGCTGGATATAACTTTTTGAATGGACCCTGGATCTGGGTATAAATAATGCCCTCTTACCCTCAAAAAGAAATAACCTATATTATTAGTTTAGATAAACATTGTTTGCTATAGCTTTCAAAACCTTTGGCCTAAATTGGCATTAAGAAATTTGACTCTAGCAGTAGAATCTGTTGCTGCTACAAAGAACTTATCAGCAAATAATTTATTTATAATAATTATTAAGATATAATTATTACTTGTGATAATTTATCAGCAAATCATGTATTTGCTTTGGTTTTCTTAAGGAAATTCAAAAGTCTACTTTTCTCCCATACACAGCAGGGTCTTTTGAAGCATCAATTTAACCACAGGAAACTCAATCACTGTAAAGAATGTTAGCAATCTTTTTATCATAAAAGCTTCACTTACATTATTCATAGTCTAGAAATCTGAAAGCATGCTGAAAATGTATTTCATTTTTTTTATTTCTTAGTAATAGTAATCAGAAATGGCATTATGTTCAGGTTATTTAGAAAAGCAGGTTCCTCTAGCTGTTATAAAATGCAGTTTTGAGGGTTAGCTTACCATTTAACATCACTATGTAACAAACAAATAGCAGGAATGTCTGAACATGAAATGGGTGAAATCCTGACTCTTCAATCTTGCCACTTACTGCACCTTAGAAGGAGCATTGAAAACCTGATTTTTGGGTATGACTGGATAAATCACTTTGTTAGCTTAAATCACTTACAGAAACAGTTACATTTATTTAAAAGTATGTTTGTCCCCATGCTGTATTCTTAGACTACAAAAGTGAGGTTTAATGTCTGATTTTACAGCCAGGAATGCAAATTGGCTCCTGGATCTGTATAAATTATTTTCTTAGTGTCCTAAACAATTAATTGAAGGTGCAGGATTACCTTGGATTTCAGTTTCTGTTTTCGAGATAGTTACTACTTTTCTGAAAAAAAATTCTCCTCCTCGTGCAATATTTAAACACGGGGGGAGCATGAAGAAATTCAGGCAGAAACTGTAGAACTGAAAGACTACAGCTGACTTTTTCCTGATGAGCGTTTTTAAAGTAGGGTTAATTATGCCTAATCCAGGATTTGTAACTGAACAGTGACTGTGAAAGTGGCTGTGCAAGGGTAACTGAAACTGGATGGCAAAAGAACATTTCAATCTACCAGAATATACTTATCTAAAGCTTTTAAAGAGGAAAAAAGATCCCAGTCATTTATTTACCCCTTTTCCAATAACAAGCAGAGGAGTAAATAAGGACATGCAATTTTACCAAAGACAGCCCGAGTGTAGCTGTTGTAAGCCTGGAGCTTAGCAGAGCTGAAGTATTTTTGTAAATAAAGCTTGATATAAGGGCTGGTTTTTTTATCATATACATGTAGCTTAATAGTTTATGAAGCAGATTATAATGTGGTTGCTTGCAACAGCAGGGAAGTGGATTTGATGACCCTCATGTCCTTCCAGTCCCATTCTTAACAAATTCTTTTCTCTTTACTGCAGCCCGGAAGATGGTGAAATTCATCCTGAAATCTGTAGACTATACATCCAGTTACAGTGTTGCTTAGAAATGTACACAACAGAAATGCTGAAGTCCGTATGTCTGCTAGGATCACTGCAGTTTCATCGGAAAGGTATGAAATCGCTCAAATACATAGATTTAAAGAAAAAAACAGAACACGGTCTTTGGGGGTATGGTTGGGTATTCCTGATAGACAAAGCACTGTGCTGGTTTTGGCTGGCATAGGTTTCCTCACAGTAGCCAGTATGGTCTGGTTCAGATTTGTGCATCAAGACTTTTTCTGCGTCTCACCTCACACTATCAGCAAGTAGGCTGATGGTGCGCAAGAAGTTGGGAAGCAGCACAGCCAGGACAGCCAACCCCAGCTGAGCACAGAGATAGTCCATACCATCATGCTCAGCATGTAAAACTGGCAGGGAGAAGAAGGAAGTGGGGACCTTCCCTGACAATGGTGTTTGTTTTCCCGAGTAACCATTACACATAATGAAGCCCTGCTCTCCTGAGGACGGCTGAACACCTGCCTGCCCACAGGCAGTGGTGAATGAACTGTGCTAGCATGCACAGCTTTGCTTTCCCTTCTCAACTGTCTTTAACTCAGCCCATGAGTTTTCTCACTTTTACTCTTCCAATTCTCTCTCCCATCCCACCAGGGAGGAGTGAGTGGCTGTGTGGGGCTTACTTGCTGGCTGGGGTTAAGCCATGACAAGCCCCAAACTGTAAAATGAACTATACCACTGAAACTCTTCAGCTACTAAAAAAACAGCTGTATTTCTGCTTCATTATCATTATTCTTACAGAAGGGTGTCATATCAGGCATTTATCACTAATGTCCTTGAAGTTTAGAAGAATGAAATAATTTTTTAAAGAGTGATCTCAAAAGTTTTAGCTGTCATTGGTCAGATCAGTGGGCAAACTATCTTAGTCATTTTGTAAGAGGTATTTGTCTGGTGCAGTATTTGAGGGCATGTGGTTGGTGGAGCAATATGGCATGGTTTTAATACTAAACTGATCCCTTACTGTCCCTGTTGTTACTTCTGCAGAGATGCGAGCTTGTAGCAAAGGACAGATATATATGGTCAGAAAGTGGCCCACCTTAGTAAAACTAGATGCAAGACTGAGAACTGAAAACTATCTCAAAGAGTACTTTTACACGCAAAGGATATGTTCTTGCTTCAGCGAAGCTGCTTCTTTCTAATGATTTCATATTTGGTTAGCCACATACTAAAAGGAAGATGTAGAAATGCATATAATTTACTGAACTGGTTACTCAGTAACCTCATTGCTCGTTGATGGAATACATTCATTGGGAGAATATATCTGCCGATTGTAACTGTTCTTTCCCCAGACAATATCTCAGCAGAATTTATTAGGTGAAGACAAGACGAAGTTCTGTAATGAGCTGTAATGGAGGTTTTGTAATGAACCTTACATTTCCTGTCACCCTGAAAGATCTCATAATGTATTCTTAAAATCTAACTATAGGGTACAGCTAAATCAAATTATTTTTTATTATTAAATTAAGAATTAGAGGTTTATAACTGCTCATTTGAGCTTTTCAGTGATTTTCTCAAGTCAAAAAGAAATCTATAAAACAGAAAGAGACAGAATTAACAGAGCTATCATACAACAGTTGCCAGTAGCTGCTAAAATGAATCATCATTTTTTATGACAGATTGTACTGCATTTCCTAGCATTGGCTACAGTTGTCAAACCATCTTCTGTAATTGCAAAAAGAAAGTAGCTTGAGGTGACAGTTGAGTAACCCTGATATATCTGTGTCTCTCCCTTTTGCCTTTGGATGGAATCTACATTAATAACTTAATATCAAGCCATTAGATGTCTAAATTGGATAAGATTAATTACAGCATTATAGTATGGGCCAGCTTAGTTCCTATTTGGCTGTACTTCTGTTAAGCATTATTTTCTCGTCTCACCATAGAGAAAGTTATGGTAGCCATTCTGCCATTGCTAAATATAGTAATTTTTGTTCTGTATCCATGTAGAGATAATCATAGTAGCTTGACTCTAAGTTTCTGTGACATTCTTTGAGAAAAATTCATAGTAGGCAAAACCTGTACAATTGCAGGGATTCACGTAATTTGAATTTTGGAACTTAGCCAATAGAACATTGATCTTGTATAGTAAATAATGGGTGTTTACAGCACCTAGAGGTATTTTAAAGCTATCATGCCACAAGGGAAATTCCAGTTATATGGGGTTTTTCACAGTGAAAGTAGTCATATACTGTAACAGGCACCCAAAGAGGATGTGAAATCTCCATCCTTGGAGATACTGATAACTCAAATAGCCGTGAATAATGTGATGCAAGTTGACCCTGCTTTCAGTAGGGTATTAGATTAGATGGCTTTGCAACCTATTTATTGTATCTTCTGCCAAAACATGCTATTTTCCAAGGAGCAGAATGAGCCCATAACCTTTCTTTAATTTCTTATGGAGAATGGTATTGCAGTGTAGGCAAGGTACCATAAATTTATCTTGGGCAATGAAGGAGCTGGTAACTTCACCATCATAAAATCATTGTGCTGTTTCTAATATATAGCTTTTTTTACTTTTTCACCTGTTTAGTTCTTCACCATCTGAGTGACCATATTAAAAAAAGATTAATAATTTTCCTTGTGTATAAATTGTACTACCCTTAGAAAAAAATCTTTGCTTAATTCATAAATATGCATATCTGATGTCATTATTGTGTCTTGAAGCTCATTTTTGAAGGTAATATTTTCCATTTGGATGTAATTTTTTCATTTTCTAATACCGTTAACTGTTGAATAAGTAGTTTGTAAGGTTTTTAACTCTCCCATGAGACTTCACCAATTTGTGTTCTTCCTCAAGCAGCAGATACTCAAGTAGGATGACATGCAGGCTTTTCTCAGCAAACTTCAGTTAATATATATTAATGTGGGTACTAGTATCTTGACCAGATGTTATCAAACAAACTATAGAACTGATAAAGCTAAGGCAGCGGGCTGATGCTGATGCTCTTTTCCCAAGAGAAACTCAGTGCTCCCTACTGGGAAACAGATGCTTTTTAACAAAACACCAACTACAATTTGAAGGGCTGAGCCCTGCGTATCTTCACTATCTTTCACAGTACTGGTCTTCTCATCTCTTTCTTTCTGTTCTTTCTGTTGTACAGAACAGACAGTCCTATATATAATGTATAGTATATATATCAAGCTTCCTGTACAGAAATTTCTTGCATATTTGCAGTGCTTTTAACTTACTGCTGTCATACACACTCTGCTAGAAAATTCATATAGTCTGTTATTCCTTTGAGATGTGATAGTCACAGTGGGGCCAAAAGTCATAAATATTTCCAGCTGTGTTATGCAGTAAGTAAAGTGAGGTAAGTGCTCTCTATAATTCTTTTCTAAGATATATACACCCAAAAAGCCAAGTGTTGAAAATACATTATGACTGCAAAGTTCCAACATTCAGAAAGTCTGCAAAGGATGCAATGAAACATGCCTGAGTAGCCTTAATTGAAGCTTTTTGTAGCTGCTATGTGTTTGGTTAGCTGATCATATACTTTATGATTCCTCTTTTCCACAATCCCCATATTAGATTACTTAAACTTATATTAGTATTAGATTAGCCCTTTTCCAAATTAATACTGAAGTTGTCAAGGTCCCACACTGGGACAACCCAGAATTACTTCAGATCTCCTAAGTGCACTTCAGCATATGTTGCTGTATTCAGCCACCAATATTTTCAGGTCAGATGTTTGTACTGATACCTTATAAAGAACTTAATTGCATGTTTAGATGTAAACATAACAGATAAAAGAGCTTTGTGGATTCATGTATGCACAATAATAATATATTAATTTCATTGTGAGGAACTGTAAAATGTTTTTGTTATAATTGAATCATTATAGCATGTCACTGTGAAATGCACATTATTGAAGTTTAATGTCTATATATATTTACATAGAAGCCATTAATTTCTTAGGATAAGCTACAGGTATAATTGACTTGTTTTGTTATATAATTATATATTACAAAGTATTTTGTAAAACCCTAAATAGCAGATTACAATCATTCTATTAGTTAGCTATGCAGCATGTTAGCAAGCACTTTAATAACAAATTGAGTAAGCCCATACAAATTGAGTAAGCCCATACAACAGATCAAAGGCAAGAGGGAATAGTTAAAATGAACTGGAGGTGTTCTCCAGAGTTCAAAACATGCTGTAAAAATAGTTAAAGCTGCCTTGTCAAAGAAATATAAGGTCTGAAACTGGTAGCTATTTGTGCTGAGTTTGAGGCAAGTAATTCCTGCATTCTTGGTACATAAAATCACAGATTTGATATGAAATCACAGATAATTGTGTATCGTATACCACTCTAGAAGTTAATAGTGTTGCTTTTCCAGTATGCATCTTGTAATAACAACATGTTATTTCCTTAAAATAGTGCTTAAAAGCCTGTGATAACTTGTGTTACAGATTACAAAAATAAACCCTCAATTCAGTGATGGGATTTTTGTTTGGAGGATAAAGGAATGATTGTTTAATGGAATTACTACTTTCTCAGCAATCTATTTAAAAACTGGTAGTAGATATGTATAATTACTTACACCTACAACTTACACAAGAAGGATAAGACATGAGAGAGAAGCACACAAATGTGGAGAAACAATCAGTTAAAAAATCCAGAGATTTGCCCCTTCTCGCGTGGACACTGTGAAGAGACCAAAATGAACAGACCAAAACAGGCATGGAAGGAGGACAATGCAACTTCTACCACAGATTTGTTCCTACTGTGTTTTGCTTCATAATAACAAAGGACAGTGTCTTGAGTTCTGCAGGTCCCGTGTGTGTCAGGAATGAAGTTCCTCAGGCTGCTAGCCATATTTACCATTTTTCTTGTTTACTTCCTATATCATCCTTTCCTATTCCACTTTTTACATTCTCCTTTCATTTACTTTAGTTGTGATCCGTAACTTGTGCATTTATCCTTAATACCAGGGTAGAAGCCTAATGCAAATGCCACCTTCTTTTTGAGAGAGAGGTTCTGTCAGCTTTGTTAAATTGTGTTGTTCCCTTCAAAAATCTTTCCAGTTCATTTGCAGTGAAATCTAACTAGCTCTGAGGTGCCTATAATAGGTGCTTTATTCATTACATAAGTTTCTCTCCAAAGCAGGGGATGACTGAGTATATGCACAGCGTAGCATGACTAGCAGTACGGAGCAGAGCAAGTGAAGCACATAAAGCACAGTGATCGTAGATGTTGTATGTAACCTTACTGAACCAATCATTTTCTACCCTCTTATTTAGCATCAATAAAGCTCAAGTTTGATGTGCACAATTATTTAATTCGATAAATTTAATTTTGTACCAAATGCAAGTTAAAAAAGAAAAAAAAAAAGCTGAATTAGAGGCTAAAAGATAAAGAGTACTCATGCTTTATCTTAAAATTTCACAGTAAAAAGACTCTGCCTCGTCAACTGGCAAGAACAGCAAGTGTGTGGACACCTCTAACAACACTGTGGGCACAATCAAAGTCCAACTGAAGTTAATAGAAGTCTACTCACTAAATTGAAAGTAAAATTTAGGGTTCATATCCCTATTTTAAGAATGTGTAACAGAAAAGCTATCCTTACCACCACTAGGAAGATAAGAAGATTTGACGAGCTTTTGTTTCTCTACAGGCTGTGCCATGTACTAGAAACGTTAAGCCTGAGTCATAGACATTATTAAAGCAAAACCTTTATTATTAGCTGACTCTGTTTTCAAGTGGTTGAACAGATGTTCTGAAATTCAAGAAAGGCTTCATGAGCTGCTCAAAATACAACAGAATTGCTGGTAAAGAGCTCTTTTCAACTGAAATCTGTGCTGCTGTTTCTCTTAAATCTGCAAGAGTTTTCTTTTGTGCTAACAGAAAGAATGTTACATTCTCAGTGCTTCTGTTCTCAATTTGCAAAAAATAACCTTTACTGTTATTTCATCTGGTACTGCTATTGTTTCCATTGAAACACCTTTGACATGCTTGAAGGATGCCTCTATAGACAGGGTTGTTCTTGACACCATGTCACCAGAAGTCAGGTCAGAGTTTCAACATAACACTTCAAAATAATGGGAGAATTAACTAATACCCAGTTCCACAAGTAATAAATTGTGATATCACTGGCAAATTAGATGGATTCCCTGGGGCAACCCTCTTTCAAAGAAGCAGTAAGAGGTAATAATAGTATGTGATGTAATGGGCTTCTTGTAATAGAAAAATAATGAATAACAAAGCTTATGCAATTAACTGTTAGACTTGTACAATATGAAGTGCTTTAAAAAAACAGCATAAGCTAGAAAGATTTAAGAGCTAGAAAAATTTGAAAGTCATACCTATAGGGTGATACAGAGTAAAACAAACAATGTGGGAAGTAGTCTCTGGCTGCTTTTCCACAAGCAATCGGGTCAACGTAGTACCTTGTTACCACCAGAAAGATACTCAGCTCTTCCTCTTTATTAACACCCCACCCTGTATCATGCCTTTATTTCTTTCTCCCTTCCACTGCTTCTGGCCACATGATCTTCCTCTGGTGCTTGCTCTCAAACATGTAAGCATTATTTACTGACCTAAAACTTTACTGACTTCAAACAGTTCATCAGAAAACTTCACATTTTATTTGATCTTTTTTTACAGTAATCTACCATTTGATGGGTTAAAGTAGCTCACAGAGAGATCTCACAAAGCACAAGTTAGTAGTGGATACCAAAGTAAGGAGCAGAGAAAGGAGAGAGAACACCAGTCTGTTATAGACGGTAAACTTGTTGTATCAGGTCATGTGATCTCTTGGGATCATAGTAAGATGACTTAGTCAAGGGCAAAGCAGGAAGAAGGGATTTCTACTGACTTAAAAGAGTAATTAAAACATTAAGCAAGTATTTTCTGTAGTACAAGTAATGTCTAGTTTGACATTCAGATGAGTTGCTAAGAATACTATCTTCTTTTTTCAGCAAAGGAGTAATTTACCTATTCTTTTTAATATAATTCCTGTCATTGCTACTCCTTGTCAAATGTTATAGTAACTACTCAGGATTTTCCTGATGTGAATTTTTTTTCAAATTTCAACAATTGTGAGGTGAAAAAACATTTCCTACTCAACTCCTCATATCACTGGTTTAAACACTGGCAGGTTTTTCTCTCTATTTTTTGAGATTTTTCTTTCTTTCTGAGATTGTTTACTCCATTTCATGAGAGAACTCAGAAGGGAAAAAACTTTAATTCTCAATAACATGTCTGGGATATACTCCAATTTGAATTTTCTTATTTAAATGTACTTTGTGCCAGGACTGTATTTGCATTGCAGAAAGGAATACCATCAGACAGTCCAAAGGAGGTTTAGAAGGATGCCAAAAAATCCCACCAATACTTAACTCTCTTGCATTCTCCACTATCATGGACCACATCCTTTATCCCTTTCTCTCCCTGACAGAAGCCATGGCAGATTTGTCATGAAGCTCCCATTTGATTCCAACACTGCATTTCATTTCCATATAGTGAGCATGAATTAGGCAAGTGTAAGCATGGAAATTCAAAATATGATGCTCTGAGTGGTGGCAGCTATATATTGCTTTTAAAATCACAAAGTAAATATTTTGTCTCTTGTTTTCCCTTGTCATTGCTGTAATACTAGGAGACATGGGTTGCAATGTTCTTTAGTGTCAAAGTTTTTGAAGCTGCTTTCAGAATGTATGCTGTAATATCCTTGCTTATTTTGTTCTGTTTTACCCTCTGGCTCTTATTTCGTATCACATGTGAACCAGTAGAATTTAAGTGAAACCTTTCATAATACTCACTATGTGAAATTCTAAACTCCACACATGTCTCCTTGGAACACCTCTTACTTCAGCAAGAGTAACATATAGGAGCACTTTGATTAGCAGATGGGTGCCTTGCTCTCTTTATTAGCAGTTCTTCCTCAGAGTTTGCATTCACAGCTTTCTTCATTTATACTCTGCAAGACCAAGCTCAAAACATCAATTATATTATCTGAGTATACAGTTTAATTAATAAATAATGGGGATATATGTTTTCTTTAAATATTTTAAAGGAAAGGAACCTGGTGCCCCAGCCAAGATCCTAGATACTAAAGTGGACGAGAGTTCTGAAGTACCTTTTTTAGAAGACGCATCATCATCACCATTGGATATTCAACAGCATTTATGGCAGGTTTCCACAGATATTGAACATACTGAAAGGTATGTGTAGCACTTCATTCCTAAACAAAGCAAATTTTCATTTAGGGTTTATTTAGTCTTTTACAATTAGGAAGTCAATGTTGCTAGTATTAAAGATATTGATAAATTAAATCACCTGTTAACATTTCTGTTACATTTATCATACCTGAGAGTGACTCCTAAAAGAAGGGCAGAGGGAGGTGACATGCTTAATTTGGCTAGTTAACAGGGGGTAATTAGCAAAAACAAAGTGTGGGAAATTGTGTTGCTAGTGGGCCGGGTTCTCTAAAAGAGGCAAATCTGCTGGCCTGCCGTTCTGCATTCATAAGTTGAAAGCACAGAATCTAGTTCATTTCAGTTGCTTCTGCCCATAGTTACCAATGTAGAAGCCTTAGGAGAGGGGGAACATCATCCACAGGTTTGTCAAAATGGACTTCTCTTACCCTCTTAACTGTGCAATTGAAAGATTGGCAGTAATCCTGATGGCCAACATTTCTTTGCAAGAAATACCTGATGTCTTTGCATATTAAGATGCTGATGAGATTTTAATGGTTATCATGTTTGTTTGTATAAAACTAAGTTCTACTGAGAGAGTAAGCTGGAGATTAAATCTGAGAAATTTCTTATTAGATGTACTGCGTTATTTCTAAGAGCTATTTTGTATGTAGATGAATGAGACAAGACCAAATCCTGAAAACTTTAAGACATTACAAGCCTGCTCACAGTATTGCTGATTTGCCACCTATCTGTAAAACAGGAACATTTTTGCAGGTTTTGGCCACTCTCAAAACATATCCAAAGGTAACTTGCTTTGTGAGATAATCATAGAATCATAGAATAGTTAGGGTTGGAAAGGACATCTAGATCATTTAGTTCCACCCCCACCCCCCACCCCCCGTCATGGGCAGGGACACCTCACACTAAACTATGCCATCCACTCTGAAGAAAAAAAGCTTAGGAGGAGTTTTTTCAGACCTGCCAAGTAAATCAGGATTTAAAATCACCGAATCATAGAATCACAGATTGGTTTGGGTTGGAAAGGACATCTAGGTCATCTAGTTCCAACCCTACTGCCATGGGCAGGGATACCTCACACTACACCTTGTCATCCAGGGCTCTGTCCAACATGGTCTTGAACACCACCAGAGGTGGAGCATTCACCACTTCCCTGGGCAACCCATTCCAGTGCCTCACCACCCTATCAGGAAAGAATTTCTCCTTATATTCAGTCTAAACTTCCCCTGTTTAAGTTTTAACCCGTTAACCCTTGTCCTGTCACTACAGTCCCTAATGAAGAGTCCCTCCCCAGCATCCCTGTAGCCCCCTTTCAGATACTGGAAGGCTGCTATGAGGTCTCCACGCAGCCTTCTCTTCTCCAGGCTGAACAGCCCCATCTTCCTCAGCCTGTCTTCATACGAGAGGTGCTCCAGTCCCCTGATCATCCTCGTGGCCCTTCTCTGGACTTGTTCCAACAGTTCCATGTCCTTTTTATGTTGAGGACACCAGAACTGCACACAATACTCCAGGTGAGGTCACACAAGAGCAGAGTAGAGGGGCAGGATCACCTCCTTCGACCGGCTGGTCACACTCCTCTTGATGCAGCCCAGGATACGGTTGGCTTTCTGGGCTGCAAGTGCACACTGCAGCCGGCTCACGTTCATTTTCTCATCAACCAACACCCCCAAGTCCTTCTCCACAGGGCTGCTCTGAATCTCTTCTCTGCCCAACCTGTAGCTGTGCCTGGGATTGCTCTGACCCAGGTGTAGGACCTTGCACTTGTCATGGTTAAACTTCATAAGGTTGGCATCAGCCCACCTAACAAGCATGTTGAGGTCCCTCTGGATGGCATTCCTTCCCTCCAGGGTATCAACCGAACCACACAGCTTGGTGGCATCAGCAAACTTGCTGAGGGCGCACTCAATCCCACTGTCCATGTCAGCGACAAAGATACTGAACCAGACCGGTCCCAACACCGATCCCTGAGGGACACCACTCGTTACTGGTCTCCAGTTGGACATTGAGCCATTGACCACAACTCTGTGCGTGCGGCCATCCAGCCAGTTCTTTATCCGCCGAGTGGTCCATCCATCAAATTGATGTCTCTCCAATTTAGAGACAAGGATGTCGTGTGGGACAGTGTCGAACGCTTTGCACAAGTCCAGGTAGATGACATCAACTGCTCTACCCCTGTCCATCAGTTCTGTAGCCCCATCATAGAAGGCCACCAAATTGGTTAGGCAGGATTTCCCCTTAGTGAAGCCATGCTGGCTGTCACCAAGCACCTTGTTGTTTTTCATGTGCCTTAGCATTTTATTACCATTTTTTTATTTTTTACCATTTTTTTATTTACTGACTTAGAAAATTTCATGTCAGATTCTCCTAAGAGGGATGAGAGTGACAGCTCTGTTTCTAAATTTTCACTTAATGTGCAGCAATACATATAATGAGTTAGCTATGTGTATTATAATTTCCTTTTGAACAATGAAACATTCATGGTACAAGCTACAGCCTTCTGATAAGGCGTATCAAGTTGTCATTAGTACTAGCTTGTCCTAAAATATGCATTGTGTGCTTTGCCACCAGGACCACATTGTATCCACCAGTTCATTTATTTGGATTTAATATGGAAGTGCCAGAATAGATCATAAATTTGGACCAGATGAAACTAGTTAATATCAGACTGGCTTAAAAGTGCTCCGTTATTAAATCTACTGCCCTTTCTTGTATGCATCTTCTGAAACATGTGTGTGAACCAACTGCTTGCCCGATAGATTTTTTGTATTTATTGCTCCATTATTTCAGCATATAAAGCTATCCTGTGGGCCATTCCCCATGCAGTCTTCAACTGCTGCTCTATTGTATCTCTTTAAACTTTTGTTTCCACAGAGATATTAGAGAAATGAAAAACCTTTTAAGTAAACTCAGGGAGACTATGCCTTTACCACTGAAAAATCAAGGTAGGTTTTGTATTTTCTTCACATAAGGAAAATTAAGATAATTAAAGGGTTTGCCTTCCATTAAAAAAAAAAATAGAAATGACAAAAAGAAAAATCTAGGTGAAGTATTTTCCCTACTGATTCAGTGGAGTCAAAATTTACTATTTGAACTTTGGCCTTTCAAGTTTCACATGAGGTATTCTGGAATTTTCTAGGTATGGTATCCATAGATAAAATAATATACTTTTCCTGGTGACATGAGGGAAGCAGGAACTAATTCCCTGATGTAACCAGAGTAAGAACATAATGAGGCATAGCTCTTGTCATGAAACCTGCCTGAAGATGGCTCAAATTCAAAGTGAATTCTAAAGATTTTGCAAGATAGCTCGGTGATAGTGCACAAGTTGGCGCTACTATATACATTTTGTATGAATTTGAAAGTAGTTAATATAAAAGCTAGAAAGCTAACCAGAAACAGGGAGAGCATATTGTGCTATTTTTTCCAGACAAATGCTTCTTCTCTTGATGTGCCAAGATGTTTCAGTGCTGCAATTTTAATGAAAATTCTCCCTTACATGCATAAATGGCCACCAAATAATGCTGGGCAGTTTTATGTTTAAATTAAGCCAGAATTTACCTTAAGATTGACATTTCCAAACTTGTATGTCTGAAAGATCTCAAGCTACTTATCTTTAGGTTTCATTTGGGACCCTAACATTATTCATTCATGCAGGAGTATTGTGGCTTAGGTCTTGCATTTTTGGAGGTGTAATTTCTTTTAGGTTTCATTAATAAACTGGCATTCTCCTTGACAAAATTTCTGTTACATTACCATGGAGACCCAGATTATTAGCATTGCAAGACCCTTATTCACAAAATTCAGGTTATTATTTTCTCTATGCCTAGAGCAGTGGGATCTATTACTTAATCATATAGCTGCTGCTAGGACATATAAATGATAAAAACTCTTGTGTGTGTGCATATGTACATGCTTGTATTAAAATGTGGGGTTTTACATCACAGATGATAGCAGCCTCCTAAACTTGACTCCATATCCATTGGTAAGAAGACGGAAGCGAAGATTCTTTGGACTATGCTGTCTTGTCTCAAGTTAGAAGATTAAGCCCAGAAGCACCAAGAAAATCATTTATAACTTTGATTAAACCACTATTATTTGACCACTGAAAAGATGAACATTGCTACTCTTAATTATAAAGTACATTTTCTACACTAGCCTATTCCTTTTTCTCTTCTCCATCCCCCTTTTCAAAAAAGGGTTTTAATAGTTTAAAGTTGTGGTGGTCATAAACCAGCTGAGGAATAGATTTAGCATAACTAAGAATGCTTTTAAAACTTTTTAAAATATGTTTTGCATGCTTACTTTCAACCACTCAAAGACATATGAATAACAGTTAATAGATAACTTTAAAGGGGATTTTTATTGTTTGAACTGCAGCTAAAAGTTTGTGCATAGTATAATATTCTTATTAGTGTCTTATTAAAATACTTGATCATATTCTAACAGTCTTTAAGCATAGAAAACTATTTAACAGCAAAAGTATTAAAGCTCTAAAACATTTAAACAATATTGTAACAGGATTTGCACACAAACTCCAGTTACTTTTTGTGCTCTTATTCATATTTAGTCTTCCACTATATCTCAATTTAAAAACTTCATAGAAAAATACCTTAATTTATGATACACAAACCATAGACAAAAATACTTAGAACTTGTAAATACAGAGAAAGCATAATACGTACATACTGTACAATGCATAGAAGCAACAGATTTCCTTTTAAGGTGATAGTATCTCTACAAGATTTTTTTTGGGAAAAATAATTTATTAAAAGAAGAGTATTGAAAAAAGAAAACAAAACAATGTAAAAAACACCAACCCATTTTGTTTCCAATAGAATTCAAAGCATGGTGTCTGCATATAGCTAAGTACTAATTCTTATAGGGCATGCCAGAATTATCTGAGACTGTAATATCTTAAATGTTTTACATTGTTAATAAAGTTTTTTATTTAACTTAAATGTTGTCTTGTTTCTAGTTACATTGCCAGAATATGCCTTTTTTTTTTCTAATTTTGAGTGCTACACAAAGTTTTGGGAATTTTTTCATTTTAAGAAGTATATTTACAAAGACAGATAAAAAATTATGATGAATATGTAAATGCTAAAATGACAGCTAGTAGCAGCAGTAGATATTAATAGGTCATACTACATTATTGATACTTTAGGATGGTAGGCAAGACACCAGAACTTATTTCATACTAGACTGAAGCCCATAGCCATCTGTAACTACGGTATAGAGCAGGTCAGCATAACCTTGTTAGTAATACATGAAGAAGGTGACTACGAGCCCTTCTGCCAATCCATCATGACCCAGCATAATCCAGAACCAAATTCTTTCTTCCTGTGTAAGGGATTAGTGATGGATAGGCAGGTATTGTTTTCTTGCACAGGTAACACATACACCGTTAAATTCTCCGTGGGAGTTTTTTTGGTAGGTTATTAGTATGCTTCCCAAAGCAGTTTGTTCAGGTTATCAGTTCATTGAACCTACAAAGTTTGATCTGACTGATTTTTCTACCAAGTTTTTCTCCTGAAATGCTGTTTGTTGAGAAAGGAAAGGAACACCCACATCATCAGAAATATTAGTATATTCTCTCATCATCAGAAATATTAGTGTATTGTCTATAGCAAGGACCAAAAATTCAGATTTAATTCCCAGTTAGGGAAGGCAGAAACTTTTTTCCTAACAGCCACACTGCTCCTGTTATAGACATTCATGTAGGTGAGCTGCCAGCATTTCTCTGGAAGGATATTCTCCTTTTCAGTCAGAGAAACCAAAGTGTTTTGTTTTTTTTCCAGGTTGGACTGATCTGTTCACATTTCACCTTTCAGTATCCCAGACAGAAAATATATTTTTTTTTATGCTCGGGTCCCCAAATAACAACTTTAAATGCAACAAGGGAAAATAAATGTCCTCATGGTAATTGTGTCTTTCCATAAGCAAAATTAATTCCATCTGAGGAGTGCATGACTAACTTTTTTAAATAGCACAGAAAAAAAGGTAACTCCAGTATCTTTTAAGATTTCAGGTCACAAACTATTCATGGCATTTAACATGGGGAGATCCCTTAAACTCAAAAAACTGTGCTTGTGAGCATGAATGCATTTTTAAGAAGAATGGAATCAAAGTCCACAGCATGACGTTTTTTCAAAGTTATTTCTTTGACATTTTCCTCACATCCCTCATGAACTATGTCCACATTAATCAGATCAAAGTTCCCTGTAATTAGTTAAAGAATGTCCAGAAGGACTGACAGGCTTTCATCAAAAGTCTACAAACCAACACGCTTGTTCTGTGGCTCCATCCCCACAGATCCACTAGGTTTTGCAAATGTTAAAACTCTGGAAAAATTACTCCTGATGTCTAATGGCTATTAAAAATATTGCCTGGGAATACAATCTGTAATTACAATTAATAAATTATTTTTGGTTTAGCATAAGTTAAAAAAAAAACAGGCTGATACTACTTTTTTTTTAATTCTGAAGACATCAATGCCAAAAAAAACAGTGTATGAACACACAACTGAATATGCAGAGATGCTACAAGAGAAAAAAGGCAGAAGAAGATGTCACACAATATCTCTTTTAAAATCTTGTTAGATTGGTACAGACACAGAAATTCCTGTAGGAAGTCAGTACAATGCTTTTTTCCAACAACCACTTTCAAAGGATGATGGGCAGATTAAGTAGGGTAATACCCACCACATATCATCACATGGAAGTTAACATGCCAAGTTACATGACAACTCGTATCTATTTTTACTGCATCTATTGCAATGGAATATACATTAGTGACACAAATGTATACATGTTAATTAATTTTGCAAAGCTTTTGACATCACAATGAGTTGCACAAATGTAGCATATTCTGTGAAAGAAACGGGTTTACCTATATTGTCTTTAAAGTCCTTTTTGGTTGCACTGTTTTAAAAGTGTACGGTAATATGTGTATCCTTGTACCTCTTGTTATTCTGGAAACATTAGTTGTGTCTCTTCTTCCTGAACTAAAGACTAATAAAATTTCAATCTTTGCTCATTTTGAAGACTTTCCACATTTGTAATCAATTTTACAGCTTCTCTCAAACCCCTGCTATATATTGTACCCCTTATTAATCCTAATGGACACATGCTGTAATCCCCAGGTTTTATGGCCACTTACAGCATATTGGTGATCAAGGATGAATGGAATGTCCTCCTGTTATCTTTTAATAGATAGTGGACATGAATCAAGACCTGGTAAGTATCTGAATTGAAGAGGTGTTAAGGGATAAATTGTTTTACACATGCAGAAGATTATGTTTCACTAAAACTCAAAGGGAAAAGAAACTTTTTAAAGACCCAGCACATTACGTAGGTCCAAAAAGAATAAATGTTAATGATAGTTTAATGGAATAGAGCAATGTGGGATCAAAGTTCAAAAGTTCCCACAATAAAATGATTCACAAATTATTTACAGATTATTTAGAACCATTTTTTTTGAGGATTTTCTTTATTTTCCAAAAGACAAATTTACATTGACAAATATCAGAATGCATGGAAACAAACAATTTAGAGAAAATACTGAGGAAAACAGTACTTGCTATTCAACCCAACAACAATACTTGCATGCTCAAACACTTAAAGGGGTTTGAACATTCTAGATTAAATGATAGAGGTTAAAGGCACTACAACTTTTTTGCTGAACCCATGTAAAATGTCAAGTTCCACCAACTCCTGTTCTTTACTAAAACTTTGTGTACCTTGGCTTTTCAGAACAAAACTAAATTCTTTTTAACCACCATTCACTTGTAAAACCATTCTTTTTTTCACAGGCATTTCATGTCATAAAAATACCTGTCTAAAAATCACTTATCTGCACACAGTGTAAAGTTTGCATTTTCAGAGCAAAATACAATCATACAGAAATATAGTAAATACATAATGCAGGCTGCATGTTAACCTACCTAATATATAAAAGTTAGCATGCAAAACCTGGATGTTGACTTACACGGTAACTTTCAGAAACTGTATTTCTTGCTCTTCTGGGACTTCATTTTTATGTATAGAAAATTTCTGCCAGTTTCCAGCCCAAATCTACTCCTGGACAGCTAACACCAATTTATTTGTATAATCTTTAAAATGCTTTCTTTGCTGTTATTTATGTCTTCTCCCCTAATATTTAGGGAGGATTACACCCTTATCAACTTGCATTTTACTAATTAAAATGTCAAGTTTTCCTAATTTTCTGTAAACATTCATAAAGCAATATCTTCATGGTGAAAATGCCTTCCTCCTCAAAGACTGAGTAAATACCAATTTTCTTCTGGTTTTGAGTTCCATCAGTAACAGTTTAATGAAAGGAGACTTAATACAATGCAGTTACCAAATTTAAGAGCAAAAAACTGCATAAATTAAGGCTTTGTTTAGGAATACAAAAGATCAGTTTACATCACCTAGAAAAGAACAAAAAATATCCTTTAATAATATGAAGTGTGGGGTTTTTTCACTCGTATTAGGAACAGCTTATTAATTTTTAGCCATTAAAAAGGAATCTAGACGTACACTCATTTCACAATGGACAATAAATACTCCTCTTTGCTTTTTTCTTCCTTTAGTTTACTTAACTCCAGTATTTGCTGCCTTTACCTGGAAAATTATTTTTTTAGACATCTGGGAAAATTTAAAGAAAGAATTTCTACTGTCTGCATTGAAAAACAGCTTTTTAATATTCTTTGTGCTGCAACTTTGAAGAAAAGTAATAAAGCTTCTGGAGCTGTGGCAGACTGCTAGAGAAAGTTGTTGAACCTAAGAGCCACACTCTTTTAGCTGCCTTTCTCCAGATTCAAACCATTAATCTCTTTTAGTCAGCAGAAGATACAATAGCAGCAGAAACAGCAATTGCACACGGAACAGGTCTGGCAGATGTTCTAGAGAGAACATCAGTTCAGATTCAGAACAATTAAGAGATTTGGAAAGATTTGGCAAAGCAGATTTGTAGAATTGAAATGTAATAGAAAAGATTACCTTAAGTAAGTCAAGGTTATTTATCTAAAAGAAAATATGTCTTTCAAAGAATTAAGAATCTGCTTTTTCTCCTTTGAAAGAAATAGTGAAGTTCTCATTGGTACAAATCCACAAAAAGCCTTTTTTTGTTAGACTTTCTTTCATGCTTCTTCCAGTACCTTGCATTCCTAGTCCTTGGCAAAAGCAACCCAGTCTCCCAGAAAAGAAAACTTCATCCTCCTAGTCTTCCCTACTTCTTTTATTCTGAAGTTGGGCTTAATACCACAGCGACTTCTTTAATTCTGATACCTCACTAGAGAGCTGGTCTGAACTGAGGAAGAACCTCAAAGCAAAGCTTAACCAACCTACTGGAATTGTTTGGCAAGTTAGCCTTTCTACAGCAAACCATCATGCATTGGTTAACTAAATACTAAAATTAAATCCCTGAGTCTAGTATCATATTAAGAAAGTTTTTAAGATGAATGCCCAGATGCTTCTGAGGTCTGTGAAACACCTATCAGTACCTGAGTTTTTTACATTTTGTTTGAAAAAGTTTCTGTTCATGTGATCTGAAGCCTGTTTGAGACAGCTCATTAGTGTCCACTGTTGTAGGCTTCCTGTTGCCTTCAAAAATAGATTATTCTTCCTGTAATGGTTACCTTGTTTAATAATTCTGAGTTGGTAAATATCCCCAGACTTCTGTTATAAGCCCAAGTCAAGAGTTTAACCAATTCCCCTCTAAACATAATGTGGAAAACTCAAACCTGCATAGTGAATTACATATACTTCAGAGTCCCATACACCCACATTTTTAATCTTTATATGGAAAAGTTTGCTTTACTGCATTACAAGTTCAGAGCTGACTCCATTTGTTTTTCTGTAATATTTCAGGATTAATGTTCTTTATAATTTTTAGTAATTTATTTGGATCAAATAATTAATTTTGAGCTTGCATTTTTTTTCTTAACTAGAATTAA